ATATGAAACTTCCCCAGGAGCGCTGTTTAAGCATTTTGGATTGAAGAGGAGCTGACCATAGAAGAGTGAGAAAACATGCGTATCCTGTTTCACAGTGGCAGAGATAAAGCACGTACCACCCTGCAACTACCAACAGGAATTGAGCTACATTGCTTTGTTTCTTTTTTGCATAAAGTTGAGCTTCTCTCAACAACGTTCGCACTGCCTCCTGTTGCCGGAAATTGCCAGCTCTCTTTGAAAATGAATGAGTTCTGCCGCTTTGACGTGTCATGTCACTGCTGGTGTGAAGGCAGGCTTAGATTTACAGTGTGTGCATGTTTAAGTGTTGGCAATACTATTAGTATTATTGGCGGCTCAGAGGAGGTAGGGGGCTCCCAAAATCAAATTCTGCTAGGGCCTCATAAAGGCTTGGGCCGGCTCTGGGTGACACTGATGATGGACCCTCCAGGCTGCACCTGGTTTTTACACCTCCGCAGCAGCACCTCGTTATACCTCTGAATGCCTTGTTTCTTCTTCTCTAATATCACAAACCTACAAAATAAAACACAGTCCCAAAATTAGAAGTTTATTCATCTTCTTTAGTCCGGGCGATAGTGAGAAAGGTTGTCAGACTCACTTCGAGTCTTGCAAGAGGTCCTTGGCAATGAGCACTGGAGTTTGTGAACCTAGAAAAAAATTATGAGAACAAGTGAAACAAGCTGCTAAACAACTTCCTTAAACAGTGACGGGACTGAATCATTTGACTGAACGGCCAATTAAAAAACATGTCCAGAGCTTTACTAAATATATATATAAATAACCCTTAAAGATATATATAAATAACCCTTAAAGAAAATGCTGTTAAGGCAATGCTGATTGTTTTTAGCCTTTCCTTGCACAAAGGTGTGCTTGCAGTTGTGATACAGGGTTAATATTACAATATCATCAGAAATATGACAATATTATCTTTATGGTAATGAACCACATTACAAAGTTACAATAAGCTTTTCTGAGTATATCTTGGACATTGTCAGTACTTCTAAAACACTGACCAAATGCATGTTTCCTGTTTAATAGGATTTAGTGCAACACAGAGAAATGAGAAATGTTAAATAAATGTTCATAGTGGTGGTGATAAGTAAACACCAAATAAAATAAATAAATAAATACATAAATCATATATATATATATATGAAAACAAAAGGACCCAATGATGGAGGAAGAAATTAAGAGAAAAAGGGGAGGTCTAATGTCATTCCTTCCTCTTAAGATTTCATATTAAACGTTTAAATGTCAAGTGAATAGGCATTTGTGTGAAGACTGAAATTAATTCTTATTCTACCAGCATTTTTGCTTTTACATCCACAAACGTACATGGCACAGATTCATTTTTCTCAGATAAAAATGAAGCACAATAAGTTCATAATTTTTCATAGATCAGTGTCTGAGCTCTGGGACTTTTAGGGCAATAAATGTCAGGGATGCTGATATTTGCTTCTATTATCATGCATTCATCAGAAGCAAACAGCTGTTTTCATATTATTTAATTAATCAATTAGCCAGTCAGGAAAAGGCTCATCAGATCGTAACCTTTTTGTCTTCATCGTGCCACAGAAACTCTTATCCAATGTGTTTTTAATTTTTTTGAAGTTTGTAAGGTCACATTTAAGACGGAGGCAAGATGAGGCCTGACCCTTTTGGTGTTAGGACTGACCTGTTTGGTGTTAAGACCGACCTGTTTGGAGTTAAATTAAATCACTCTTACGTGAAGCTGGTTCAGCCTGCACGAATGCATACTTGTGACAAGACAGAGAAACAGCAGAATGTGTCAGAGCGAAAGGGAAGGAAAGGAGCATCCTGCAGCTTTCTCTGTGAAAAAAGGTACGTTTCATATCCTAAACACGGCATATGTGCCTCTACCAGACCAAAAAGGGTTATTAGCCTTGCGATAGCATAATCCAAATCAAAAGCTCTTTGTATATTCAGCACTTACGTCACAAACAGCTCTTTTATTTGCAAGGTGCTCGAGTAGTTCAAAATTGAAGTACTACAATATGTTTATTGTAGCGTATTGATGTGTATTTTCTGTCGTTTCTGCAACATGATTCATTAAATGTTGAAAGCTTAATTTTACTATTGTTTTTATTATTATTTTTTACTTTTAAAGATGTAGAAGCCCTATGCTCAAGTCATGAAACTATGGCCTCTGTGCACAAATAGTGCTCTAAATGTTAGATAAGGAGTCATACAGCATATGGCTAAATATACATGGCTTTCTATTCAAGGTACGTTGCGGTGTAGAAGCCATTATTTTATGACCTACATTATGCACTACATAGGAAGTAGGAAGCAATTTAAAATCGAGCCTATGGGATCAAGAAATAAAACATGAAGCCTGTGGTGTGTTGGCTAGTTGACGGAGAGTCAGGCCGTGTGAATAATCAGCTATTCAGTAAAGATTTACACACCTGTGCATGTTTATTTAAATTGAGGGAGTAGTCCTCTCAGGAGTACTCTAGATGTGATTCATCCTACCCAAGCAACACATAACGCATTATTACTGTATATAATTACTGTGTATGCCATAAAAGGGAAATTACTGCAGAAGACAAAACAGGGCGCTGAACGTCTGACACACCAACAGTTATTGATTATAAAGCTTGTCACTTCTATGTATTTCCATATGTAGCACTCTCACTGGTATAGAGAGATCCACAGAAGTCATGTTTGCTAGGTTCGAAATAAGGAGGATGAGAAGAATGAGACATGGCAAAGACTTGAAGGCAAATACTGAAAAGTAAATATACTGTCGCGCGAACGACCATATGTGAAACAAGGAAACAAGAGGTGCGCAAGTTTTAGAGCTCTTTACATTTTTTCAGTCTTTGAAAAAAAAAGTCTAGTCTAGTTGAAATTTGTAGACGTTGCTCAGTTTGTCTCAGTTAATGCAAAGCAAAGTCCGAAGCTCGATGCTGTTGTGCTGCTTTTATGCGATTACGTGTGTGAGCGGCTTCTTCTTTTTTCTTTGAGATGAATCCCAGTTCAGTTTGTGTACAAAAAAATCTTATCTGTTTCCTTGTTCTGTCTCTGTCTGTCAAGAAGCAACACGCAGGGCAGACGGGTTTTAACCTCTTATGCTTGTAGGTGTATTTTGTTTTTTCCATCTGAATTTACATACCCAAATCGTAAGGCAAATCATTCAGCAACTGCACGAAATAACTGTAAATTTGAAGTTTCCCTCAAATTAACAGAAAATGTGTTTTATGATCATAAACATAATGCTATATATTTACAATTTACTGCTGAAAGCCAAAAATCTTACATTATTTTATAAAAGTAATTTTTAAAGAGCAGATCACCAGAGTGGAAAAATGGGTCAACTTTCAGTAGAAAAAAAAATTGTGAGTTCAGCTTCTTGTATTATAAAGATTTAAAATTATATCAACCATCTATTTGACTGGAAAGAAGACAGTTACAGCTCTCATATGACACCCACCTTTTGAATGAAGCTTATAAAATATGAAAGTTATGAAGTAAAGAATATGATGAAGTGCGTTTGGAAACCAGTGGTGGTTCCATAGAGTTAAAGAAGTTAACACATGATCCTGCCTCGCTGTTTTGGTTTCACTCAGTCTGGCACACGTGTGCGTGCCAGGATCCAAACTCAATGCCAAAACAATGACAGTTGCTCATTCAAAGGAAAAGTAATCATCATGAAAAGACCTTGATTGCAAACTTCACCTTTACAGAATGAAAGAAAAACTCTCTCTCTCTCTAATTTGTAAGCACAGCCCTACCGATATATATCAGGTGGCTGATATCATTGGTCAATATTGAGAACCCATGGTTTTACTGGTATCAATGAAAGCATCACTGATAAAAGGCCGATAATTACCAACTTTTTTGGTTCAGAATTCAAAATTGTGATCTCCAAAAAAATATAGTTATGACAACAAAAACGTAAACACAAAGCTCGTCTATAGCACAAAAAACATGTTAACACAGAAAACATTTTCGTATTGGGTTAACTAATTAATAAGTAATATAAGACGTAAACCGCAAAGTATTCTGGGCAACTCCATGCCCAGCATGACAATTTTTTAATTATTTGACTTGTTCATTCAAGCTTAAGGAGTTTGTAGCACTGTCTAAAAAATATTATTAGAGCATTACATTAAAATCTAACTGGTCTGATTAGATCTTTGAATGATGGATCTACTGTCAAAGGTTTTAAAACAAATCGGTGGGTAAACATGGGTTTGTGGGTTTGTATTCATTAAATGTGAAAGACAGTAAACTAAACTTATGATTTGGGACATGGTTTACATACAATATATTATATATATATACGCAAGGATAACTGTATCATCCCATTTAGTAATCAGCCATTTTGTAAAGTGTTTAAGCTCTGTGAAGCTCTCTACCAACTACAAGACCTAAAGTCACAAAGTTGACAGTAAAAGTCAAACAATTAAAAAGGAGAATTTTGTACAGGTCTTTTAAAAGCACATGAATTGATTCATTCATTTAAAGTTTAAAACAAAGAGAAGATACAGTCTTTGCACATCAATTTCTAGAGTAACGTAATTTCCATTTTCTACTTAAAGAACTCTGAAGCTCTGAACCCATTTCACCTCCTCTAAATATATATTATTTTTTAATAATATACAAAAAAAATTAACAAGCTGTTGCAAAGCTTTTTAGATGCATTCTTTCATTATACCGCACTTATCTTCGGCTTTATTTCATCTTATGATACCTTACATGGCAGCATGATGCAACTGTATGTGGTTGAAATCAAAGATGCTGTACTACAATTGCTTTCAAAGTAACTTCTTGAAAAGAAAAAGAAGACTTTTGGGAAACGGTTACAGCTGACAAGTTTTGTTTATGCAAATTTAGAGTCTAAACACACTTAATAACCTTGCAATGCCATATTATGTGGGTAATGGTAGAAACACTCAGTTTGAAAGCTTATAACAGAAAAAAATATATAAAATTTTTTTTTTAAAAAACGCAGCATGTGTTTCTCTGTAAATGAAACTGCTTTTCTTGGCCTACAGATCTTGACGCAACAACTGATTCATTCTTCAACTGTGGACGAATCTGAGCATCAGGACCCGAGCAACAGAAACATGCAGTGGAAGTGGAGGCACTGCTGTACAAGCATAGCTGGATTTCTAGTTTTGCTCTTGTGTGTGGGAGTGTTCCTCATCGTCAGCGAACACAGCCTGCTGGCAGGAAAGAAGAGCCACCAGGAGTACGGTGTAACTCACATACCACCAAGGTCTGAGGGAAACCTCAGCTCCATTCTGGAAGACTCCTCCCAGCAAGGGCTGAAGAACTCTGTGGAATCTAATGCCAGTTTAAGCAAGGAGGTAAGAGCAGGTAATATCCCTACGATAGAACCCTACAACTACATTATCAATGAAGAAGACAAGTGTCAGGAAAAGAATCCTTTCTTAGTGTTACTGATTACCGTTGAGCCCCAGAATGTTCAAGCCAGGGATGCCATTAGGCAGACGTGGGGGAATGAAAGCGTGGCTGAGGGCTTGGGATTTGTGCGGCTCTTCCTTTTCGGCATGACAGAAGGACTTACCAGCCAACTGCAGCGCTCCATAGAGGCAGAGTCTCAACAGCATCATGACATTATCCAGCAAAAGTACATAGACACATATTACAACCTTACCATCAAAACACTGATGGGAATGCATTGGATAGCAACGTACTGCCCTGGGGCCAGTTATGTCACGAAGACAGACAGCGACATGTTTGTCAATACAGAATACCTCATCCAAAAACTTCTCAATCCAAACCTTCCGCAAAAACGAAAGTATTTCACTGGGTATCTCCTGCGTGGTGAGCCCCCACATAGAAACAAAGACAGTAAGTGGTACATGTCGCCGGAGCTGTACCCCGACCACGTGTACCCTACTTTTTGCTCAGGAACTGGATATGTCATCTCAGGCGACCTGGCAGAGCTGATCTACAGGACTTCTCTGAGCACACGAAGGCTGCATCTTGAGGATGTTTACGTAGCGATCTGCTTGGCAAAACTGAGGATAGAACCAGTTCCTCCGCCCAACAAATCCCTATTCAATGTCAACCGGGTCCCATACTCCAGCTGCAAGTACAGCAATCTGATAACCTCTCACGGGCTCCTTCCTGCTGAGATAATAAAGTACTGGCAGGACCTACAGAGCAACAAGCACAATGCCTGCGACAATACAGAGTAAATCGACAAAGTTCGCAGGCTTTGCCAAAGACAACAGGCCTGCATCGTAAGCACAGCCCTACCGATATATATCAGGTGGCTGATAATATTGGTCAATATTGACAACCCAGGGTTTTATTGGTATCAACGAAAGCATCACTGATAAAAGGCTGATAATTACCAACTTTTTTGGTTCAGAATTCAAAATTGTGATCTCCAAAAAAATATAGTTATGACAACAAAAACGTAAACACAAAACTCATCTATAGCACAAAAAACATGTTAACACAGAAAACATTTTCATATTGGGTTGACTAATAAATAAGGAATATAAGACGTAAACCGCAAAAAGTGTTCTGGGTAACTCCATGGCCAGCATGACAATATTTATATTATTTGACTTGTTTATTCGAGCTTAAGAAGTTTGAAGCACTGTCTAAAAAAATTACTGGAGCATTACATTAAAATCCAACTGGTCTGATTAGATCTTTGAATGATGGATCTACCGTCAAAGGTTTTAAAACAAATCGGTGGGTAAACATGGGTTTGTGGGTTTGTATTCATTAAATGTGAAAGATAGTAAACTAAACTTATGATTTTGGGACATGGTTTACATACAATATATTATACATATGCAAAAATAACTGTTCACTGAATCAAACCAATCAGTAATTAGCCATTTGGTAAAGTGTTTAAGCTCTGTGAACTTTGCATTTGTTGCAACATCTTGTTTGGTCTTTCCTGCATTTCTGAGCTGTGTTTTTTTTTCTGTTCTGGTCTTCAACTTTGTTTTGCCTGGCCTGGACTACTATTGTTTAGTACTAGTACTATTGTTTACTATTGTTTTGCACCATTGGCATCCCAATGACTTGTGTTTTGGCTGCTTTGGCTTAATAAACTTGCACCTGGCTCCAACTGCCTGTGTGAGATCTTTCTTGACACACACACACACACACACACACATACACACACACACACACACACACACACAAACATTGGTGTGCGTGCTGGCAAACATTATTGTGAACCCCAATTTCCCAACATATTTACAAGCAATGTATTAGTCTTCTCTCGTTCTCTCTTAGTTCTTTTCCCAAAACACTCGAAATAAATCTGAGGTGTTTTATTGTCCTTTATCAGCTACAACCTGTTAGTCATTCCAGTGTAATTTAATTAAACTATTTTGGTAATGATCATAATTTTACCCAAAATAATTTCATATTATCTTAAAATACCACACTTACTCTGTTAATACCTAGAACTTTCTTGGTATTTCAGTGTAACTCAGTATTTAAACTGTTTTGGAATTTACCATCATGTTACCCAAAATAATTACCCGGTACTTTGGAATTGTACTGCGTCACCAACATAGAAATAAGCAGACGCACAGGCATCAACAACACTGTAGATGAGGTGAAACAGAGACGCTGGGCCACATCCTACGGATGAGCAAGACCAGGCACCCACATGCTGCACTCAGATGGGCACCACCAGGGAAGAAGAAGAGAGGCAGGCCACTGGGCACATGACGGAGAACGGTGGAGAAGGAGATGGCAGTGAAAGGCAAGACCTGGGAAGAGATCCACCGGCTCGCCCAAGGCCACAACGGCTGGAGAAGATATACTGGCGCCTTATGCTCCAGCCAGAGCGAAAAGGATTAACTAACTAACTTTGGAATGGTACCTCACACCTACCTGGTTAATACCCCAGACAGTGAAAGAAGACATTATCAAAAGAGTTATTCAAGCACTGTATCATACCATTATAGTCTGCTTTACTACAATTTATGGATGTTCGTCTTAAAATCATGGAAAACAGAGAGTCCTATTGAATGAGCTGTTTTATGAGCTGAACACAGAGGCCTTCAAAAGAATCTGGAAACTACTTCATTCTTGTTTTCACTTGTTTCTAAGTGCAGACTGTGAGATTTATAACAACACTTGGTTCGCACTGACGCAATACAGTGCTGCCACCAGTAGGACAAACACTGGAACTGCAGAGACGCTTCCTGCATCTTCTGTTTCCTCTTTTCAGTGCGTACACTGAGCTGCAGCTCTCTACTCACTAATACAGGATCACTGGTACTAGGAAATGAAATTCATCATCAGTCCTATCATTGAACTGGATACTGGATCATCTTTGTGAAGTTGCCTCCGCTGGCTGTTCACTCTAATACAGGGATATCCAATCTTATCCGCAAAGGGCCGCTGTGGCTGAAGGGTTTTATTCCAACAGAGCAGGAGATCACACGATCATTTGTTTGATGACTGAGCCACTGATTAAACTAGTGGAATCAGGTGAACTCCTGCTGGTTTGTAATAAAACCTGCAGCCACAGCGGCCCTTTGCGGATAAGACTGGACACCCCTGCTCTAAGAGGAATGAAGTCTGACTGAGAACTTCTGAACAAAGGCAAGCACACTTAAGGCAGCTCCAAAATGAGCTCATTAAATTTACACCGCCTAAAGATGTTACTGATCCTTCAATCCTGAGGCAAAAAAATCTAGTATAGCATATTGAGTACTGTTATTTGTTACTTGTTGCCTGGTGTACTTGTCTTGTATGTGCAATACCTCCCTCTCCTACTGCCCCCAGTGTACCTTTATTCCTATTTATAATTATATACGTAGGGACATACTGTTGTAGTATAAGAATTTCACTGTATTAATTGAAATCCCTGTATTCTGATGAGACATATTACATTAAACCAGAGGAGAACCGTCATGGCCATCTACGCCCTCAAAGAGGGCCTAAGATATTCTAAAAATATTTTAAAATTGAGCAGTTCTAGTTTTCTCTATGATAGTATGATCGTATTTTGACAATCAACATCTAAACAAATACAAATCGAAGCAAATAACTTCTTCATACCTGTCTATTAAATTTGTACTGAAATGTGAAAGGTTAAATTAAAGAAGCCCCTTTGTGTCCCTATCAGAAGTTTGCCGCTTCTGCTCTTGCTGGAAAGAATGATGGTGATTGGTGATCCAGCTATAAATTTACAGAGGGCCAAGCAACAGTAATTCAATGAGAGACTATTTTCAAGAGCGAAAAAAGCAGCTAGCTTGTTGGTCTGTGACGGAAGCCGAGAGTAACGTAACCACTAGTGAGGAGGACATCCCTGCAAATGTATTATCCATACCGTTTTCTAGACTAACATTAAATGAAAAGTTGGAACAAACCAGCATAGGACGACCTACACCAGAGCTTAATTTGGTGCAAAAAATGCCTTTGAGAGGCATTTCAACTCCAGCAATTACACCACAATACCCCTGGATGACAGGATCGACCAAGGAGCAAAAGCTACTCCTGCTGAGACTGCTTGCTGTTGGGTGCAAAAGTGGCTCTCGGGCCAGAGCTGGATTTTGTGATTTAGAAAGTTAATCTAAGTCAGCCCATCACCATCAGAATGCTTGAGAAGCAATTGTTGATTAATTTGAATGCAAAGGATCAGCTGCATGACCCCGCCATCAACCACTTCATCCATAAGGAAAGGAGGATGGACTATGTTATGACTTTGTTCATAAGCAATGCTCTGATCAAAGGGAAAGTTATTTAGAATATGTTATTTAGAATCATTCTGGCCGCCGCTGACACTCTATGTGTAATCTGAAGGTTTATTTGAGAAAACAGCCATTATACAGAATTAGTGGTCATTTTTCAGAGGGCCAAGGTTTAAAAGTCATGGTTCGCTACTGCGTTTAACCAGTGTTGACCTTTGCACAATTGCCCAATCACATCCCTAACAGAAATATACTTTACCCCACATATACTTTACACCACATTATTTTGCTGCTCTGAACAAACAATTCAATAAGCTATCAGAGAACATCTAACAACAAGGGCAGCATGGACCTTCTTTTACACATTGATAGGAGACACAGTAGCACATAGAAAACTCTAATTCCACATGCTGATCCATTTTGCTACCAGCAGAAATATAAGCCTGACGTCTTTTCAACGTGTTTGTTATTAGTTTTGCCGCCTTCTTGCCCTTCAGAACCACTGCTGGCTGGATATTTTCGCTTGGCAGACTATTCTGAATAAACTGAATCTAAACAATGTCTCTCTTCTCTTTTGTAAAAAAATAAAATGTCCTCAGACATTTTATGACCTTTAAAGTCTTTTATAAGACCTTATGAACTCTCTTATATTACCATACCTCCACGTGTTTCTCTCACCGTCCCGCTGCTCTGTAGAATAGGGGTGATCTCTCGTCACGTCCACTTCGGTGTCCACAAAGCTCCTCTACTGCAGGGTGATGTCATTATCCAAGTATGTCTTAATAGTGGAACGCTTCTTGGTCATCACTTTTGTCAGCTGCAATCTTCTCCACAGACATGGCCTCTGAGAGCGACCTGGGGACAACAAGAGGGATTGTGAGAAGTTATAAAACAACTGAAAAATAAAGAACTGCTAATAGCAAAGTAAGACACTGAGTTATGGAAAGCTGCTAATAAGATATAGGAATACGAGAAAAATTCATTTCCCTGAACACAGACTGCTTGTAAAAGAGCCTGGCACATTCAAATCTGTGAAAAATTCAGAAAATAGGTAGGGCTAATTTGCAATTCGGCCAAATCTGACCCTTGAGGTCTATAGTTAATCATGACTGTCCACTGTAGGTCCTTTATAGAAGCTCCTTGAACTGTGTCTCTGTCAAACCAGTCATTCATGACAGCCTTGGTAGAGATAGCTCAGAACAAAGAAAACATTATTTCCAATGAAGTTTACACTCATTTCACTTCAAATCTTATTACTTTAATTAATTATATTTTTTATCTAGAGCTGAAACATAGCCTTAATTGTTCACAGTGGTGGTGAAGGGAACCTGACATCTGAAGTGTTTAATGTCTCTAAAAGCTCCCTCACAGACAGTTATTACATAAAATGGCTACGAATACAATGCCTGATGTCTGAGACACTGTTTTACGATAGTTCAGGCCCAAAAACACCCTGTTAATCTATTTATTTTAATTCATTAATGATGGGGTGGTACATGCAGGGAGTTCTGAGGCAAAATAGGTCCCAAAAAACATATTTTACATATA